AATGGGCATGCAATGATGTCACATGGTTATAGTTTCACTGTTGAGAGGAGAGAGTTGTGGCTCCATGTTACCACCGTCAGCAGCCTAAGTGGTTCCTCTACAGTTTTAGAGTTTTGGCTCAAGCTGGAAAACATTTCAGAAGTAACTGAAGAAATAAAATTGGATCTTTTTGCTGGAAGGATTTTCATGTAGGCTTAAGCACAAGCGTTCAGAAAAAGAGGTGTCCTCAGAAACAAGTAAGATACACTCATGAACAGAATACAGGTTTCTTTCCCAACCCAAAGCAGGCCAAAGTAAGATGAAAGTAAAATGTAACCATGAGTGAGTATGAGATTCTCAATGGTAACTAAGCTATTAATTTTCAATTTTCTTAGCATTGGCCATATATATCACTTTGGTAGCTTTTAGCTTTATCTCAAAAGGTAGTTAAGAGCTCCCCCATTCACACACACACGCACACTCACAAACACACACATTCTTTCATTTGATAAGCAAAAAAGCTGAGGTGGTTGTAGGAAAAGTGGAGTTCGGTGGAATTACAACCTGATCAATTGAAACCACAGACCACTCGGGTTGCAGATGGAGTTGAATTCGTGAGCTTTCTTGGTTAATGAAGTTTCTGGTCAAGAGTCCTGGAAAATTCCAGGTATATGACGGCAAGAGGAAATTTACTGAAGCAGTTGTTAAATTGTTGGAATCCTTGCATCCTTTGTGAGGAGATATTCAACTATATTGCTGAGCAAAAAGATCCTTTCCCAGACTTTCCATCCTGCCTCAGAGGATTGCATTTTTAAGATTAGCGATTTTCAAATAACTTTTTAAAATATCATTTATTTTTACTTTTCTTGCATGTATACCTATGTACAAGGTTCATGTCTGGTGTGTGCAGACTGCAGATAAGGTTGTGTCTCTGGATCTAGAATAACTAATGATTGTGAGTCACCAAACTCTTGGAAATGAACCTAAGTCCTGTGTTAAAGAGTGAGTACTCTTACCTGAGGAGCAATCTCTCCAGCTCCAAACTGAATATTATTGAATACCTTTTTAAATGCTTAAATGTCTCCCAGATACATTGATGAAATTTATGTTTATGATTTTGTTCATTTTTAACCCTTGATTATCTTTTTATTATTGAGTTATAAAAATGCTTTCATTGTACACTCAAAGATTAGTCACTGTCTTAGTTACTTTTCCATTGCTGGTCACAATGACCAAGGCAAGTTATAAAAGAGTGTATGTATTTAATTAGTCTTACAGTTTCTGAAGTTTAGAGTCCATGACAGCACAGTTAAGGCCGGTGGCAGGAACTGGTGGAAGCATATATCTTGACCTGAAAGCAGGAAACAGACATGACATGAGGAGTAGCACTTCTGAAACCTCAAAGCCTGTCCTCACTGTCATTTGTCATCCGATGAGGCCTCTCATTTTAACCTGTTCAAATAGTTTTACTAAGTGAGGACAATTTATTCAAACTTAAGAACCTATAGGAGTCATTATTATTCATACTTACATGGTCATCTTTAATTTTGATGAAGTTCAAATTTCTATGTTTTGTTTCTGGCTCAGATATGCATATCAGTTATAAAAATATTTTCCTTCAGCAGTAAAAGATTTGCTTTTACTTTCAAGTTACTTTCTGAGTGTATGGAGTGAAGTAAAAGTTTACTTCCTTGAAGTGACTGTACAGTAGCTCAAACACCACTTCTTATAATGCTTTTATGTTTGAATGCACTTTTTACCTTTATCTGAAACCAACTGACTATAAATGTGAGAAACACTTTGGAGAAATTGAAATATTCCCCCCACACACACACACTTTTTTTTTTTTTTAATTTTCATGTCAGAGCAATGCTACTGTAATTACTTAAATTGGTAAAAATCAAATGGTAAACTCTCCCACTCTGGTATTTGTCATTTCAATTTAGGTGGTTGTTTGTTTGTTTGTTTGTTGATATGCCCTTTATTTCACCAGTCTCCAAACGCTAACAGAAAAATCTGGTGAACTTTGAAGAATATGTAAACTCTCGAGACTTAGGAGATATGGTGTATTTGTACACTTATTTGAGAAAAATTTTCAGCATTACCCAGAAATTCTTTGTAGTTTACTGACCTAACTTAGTTTAGACTGTTTGTGATCTTCAGGATTTAAAGATTCACAAACTTTTTTTTATCTGTTAATATTTGTTTTATTTTTTCCGTCATTTATTTTTTAATTAATTACTGTTTATTCACTTTGTATCCCAGCTATAGTCCCCTTCATTGTCCCCTCCCAATCCAACCCTGCCTCCCTCTTCTTCTCCCATACCCCTCTCCAAGTCCACTGATAGGGGAGGTCCTTCCCTCTGACCTTAGCCTATCAGGTCTCACCTGGACTGGTTACATTGTCTTCCTCTGTGGCCTGGCAAGGATGCTCTCCTAGTCAGGGGGAGGAGATCAAAGCGCCAGCCACTGAGTTAATGTCAGAGTCAGCCCCTGTTCCCATTGCTAGGGAACTGGGAACCCATGAACAGATATAGCCCATGGCAGCTCAGTCTCCAAGACTCACAAACTTAAAGATGGCAGTTCTGCTCTAAGAGGTGGTGATGGGCAAGAAGGAAGGCAAACAGGAAGCTAAGTAAAGACAATTTTTTCTTTTTATTAATTACAGTTTATTTACTTTGTGTCCCAGCTGTAGCCCCATCCCAAATTCCCTCCCAATCCCATCCTCCCTTCCTCATCTCCTCCCATTCTTTAAACAAGAAGAAAATAATAAACTATGTCAATTACTGCCATTATTTCAAGTTAAAAAAGGACAGAGAACTGGCTACTGAGATTTTCTAAATATAATCCAGTTCTGACTGTGACAAGAGGTACTTATATGAAATATAAGGACAAAAGGCCGATCAGACTGGATTCGAGCAAGGATCAGAGAGTACACATCGGAAGTAAAAAGTACAGACTGCATTCTTTTTGTTTGTTTGTTTTGTTTTTGTTTTTAGTAGTGTGTTCTTATAGCAAGGAGCCTGGAAATGGAGTAGAAACTGGAAGTGAATAAAATACCAACACCATCAGTGATTTTAAAGATTTGCAGGACAAAAGCACACCTCTGTGATACAAGCATACAAGGGAAGAAGGCAGGGAGCCCCGCTGACCCTGAAAATCAGATGAGTGGGTTGGATAGCCTTGAACACAGTGAGACAGATGATAGTATGGGTGTCAATCTAATACAGGGGCGAGGTGTGAGAAAAAGACACAATTCACCCTGAGGAGCTCTAGGGAAGCCAGCAACTGCAGGTGAGTGCTTGATAACATGCTTAGATATAGCGATAGGAAATGGGTGAAATTCCTTTACATTCTGTTCTTGGGAAGATTAAGAAGAAAGACAGTAAACTGTCTTGGAACATTTGGGAGATGTTGGATACTGGAGTAAAGGGCTATCCCTCACACCAAGTGAAATCTGCCTCTTGGAAAACAATCTATTCTGCTAATAGATGACTGTTTTTTTTTTTTCTCCAAAAAAATAGATGACTGTTTTTTTTTCTCTTACATCCACCAAAAAGATATGTTAATTTCTTTCATGTCTATAAAGTTAAAGTTAACATTTTGACATTATGTTAAATATATGTATATATCACTATAAAGGTTTTCATCAAATTGGTCCTACCATCAATTGGAGAAGATTATATACTACGAGGGTCCTACTACATCAGAATGACATGATGATAAATGTCTGTACTACTAATCCTTGGGAGGCTAAGGAAGGAGAATAGAGTTAGAGACTAGTATGGAATGCATTGGGGAACCCTGTCTCAATATAAGCAAAAACCAACCAAGAATAACCAATGAGAATCATCTTCCTTATGAAGCTCTTGATGATTGGTACTTGTCCATAAGGACAAGTGACCTTCTGGATGGACATAGTCACAGAGAAATATAATCCTTGGTCATCAAAACATCCAGTGAGATAGACCTTACTTAGCAGACAAATCAAAATAAAGTTAAAAGTTACCTCTGACTTAAGTTCATTCGATTTGTGATTTTATTTTTTCCAGCATCCATTTATTTAACTTTAGTATGTTAAGAATATTCTGTCTTTGTGTGAGGACCTGAGAAGATTCTCCTGTTTTAGGCATGTTTGTATGTGTTAGGGTCTCTATGTACACGCACTCACTTTGTTTCTGTTTTAGCTTTTATTTTCCAAGGAGTTAGTCTCTCCTAAAACCATGCCAAGACAGACATATTAAAAGTTTGGTACGGAGGGAGCTCTATGTGAAACACAAAAATCATTTTTTAAACAAATATAAGCAAACTTCTTCTTTACCCAGGCTACAGTAGGAAGCTGCTTGTGAGAACACTATTTCTCTAGACTATCGGACTCTGTGTAATTTGCCATCTTTAAGTAGCCTAATGCACATATTTCAATTTAGAAGGGTATTAGTGATAGCTCTCTGATTTTACGTCCACCCTTCTCTTCACTTTAACTAGCACCAGGAACTGCTGGCATGCTTCAGAAAGCTTACATTTGAACACAGTCTAAATCGGTGCAGACCCTTGACCGGCTTAATCTTTGCTTGCAAATGACAATGCAGTGAAACCGGGGGGGGGGGGGATCTACTTCCTTTCCTGTTGGATACCTAATAAGTAGTTAGTCTGACCCAGTTTTCAATAAAAACGATTTTCTGATGACCTGACAGGAGTGACTATATCTAGTCAAAGAATGAAGGGGGTGAATTTAATCTTTCATGCCACTGGAATGGCAGCTGCTTCCAGCTGCCTGAGTCTGTGAAGGATGGTGAAGACGGAGCTCTCTTTCAGTGTGGAGACAATTTTCCCTTTGAATATTCCAAACGGGAGCATTGCACATGTGCCTCAAGAACTAATTGTCTAGGTTCCGTCAGGAATGCAGCAGGAGAGGAGCGTATTTCATGCTTAAGACCAGAGAGGAGCCACGCAATACTCAGTGGATAAAAGGCTTGCAGTCCCAGCTGGGAAAAAGAGTCCCATTATCTCCCAGCTGCATAGACATTCCATACGGCTTGGTTCTGCCTGGGTGCACAGCATGCCTGGCTGAGGACTCCAGACAGAGTTCTGCAGGAAAATTGTAAAGATCCCGAGACATTTCCCTGGTAAGATCCGTGAGTACAGAATTGCGCTGTCTGCTGCAATGAGAATTTTACTGGGCAAGCTGCAGGTTTTCTCGCTTTCAGTCTCTTTGTATTATTAAAACAGGTAAAAGCTGGTGTTGTGTGGATGGTGTATGCGTGTGTGGGGGGGGAGTGGCTGTTTCATTGATGCTGTGTTTTTATGATGCTGATGCTTAAATACGTTTATTCCCTGTGAGAAAAGAATGCATTGTATCTGTATTAAGGGAGGTACGAGCTGAGGAGGCAAAGTGAGACTACAGGTCTATTTTTCAGTGTTTCACTAGTCTTTGCTGCGGTAAAACTAACGGGAAAGACTGGATGACAGTGCTAATTCTAGTACTTTCCGATGGCTACACACCCTTTCAGTAACAGCAGAACAGAAGACGTGAGTGCTATTTTTTTTTTTTTCCTTACAGTGGATGAGGGG